AAGGGTTTAGGGATTGGGGTTTAGGGCTTCCCAAAAATTAGAGGTACCATTTTAGAGGTTCTAATAGTCCAGAATTATAGTATTTCGGGGTCTAGATTATTTTGGGAAATTCGCATATTTAAGTGCACGCCATGTGGGTAGTTACCAGGGGGTGTTCCCTCATCTACAGGGCTCGTATAACGGTAGTGCGTCTGCATGATGTCTCCCTGGACCCCAAAAGTATGTAAAACGATGGCCTTTATGGCTGTTGTTAAAGTTTGAGGGCGTTTATTTTACATACTTTTGGGGTTTAGGACCCACCTGAAAGCTACCCATGTTGAGGTTTGCTTGATACACGAGTTTTTCTGAAGATATACATAGGGCTTTAGGGATGCATGTATGGCTGAAGAGTTGGGGATTCAGGGTTGGTGTTAAAAGGCTTAGACCAAGCACCTAAGCACAACAAGGCTTGTCTCAATGTAGCCCCCGGTAATGTGCTGGTTTATCTACATGGTCTTTTCCATTCCGTCATTAATTAGCACTAATTAATTTCCTAAACCCTAGATGGCAGTTTCCATTTCCTTTCCTTCGTCCTTTCTAGCGACTTACCAGCAAGATAGACAAGCACCTCAAAAACTTGAACACTAAATCATGTGTTTAAGGTATCCAAAAAACTCGAGAGAATCTAGGACCATGATATTGGTAGCATTCAGGGCTTTAAATACGACACCCTTGTCACAAAGCCCTACTATTGAGTCGACAATTGCTCGGATATGGGCGGAGGCAGCTGGGTTCGCTTGCCTCCCTCCACACGTAGTCCCCTTATGCAAAGCATAAAAGCAAAATAATTTAGAATGGCCGGACTACTGAGCAGTCTCAAGCGGGTCGAAAAAGGGCAAAGCTCAGTACTGCCGACATAGTAGCTGCCTCAACTGCGCTTGCATTCTGGGATTGTGAGCCACATGAGAGGATAATGCAGCCGGATAAATCCAAGTACAACGCAGTAATCCTCAGCCGGGAAGATTTCCATTACATCCTCCAGTACGGAGTCCAGAGTGCAACCTGCCCTCCAATAGGAAGCGGCTAACTGGTCTCCATACTGTCCCCTAACCCTTAACCCTAAACCCTAAACCCTAGACCCCATGTCCTGCTGACTCTTCGCAGTATTCCGAGGCAAGAGGTCTGTAAGCCGCTCCCTTACAGTTTTGCCACTACTACATGCTGTGTGGGGGACGTAGGGTTTAGGGTTTTTGTGTATAGGGGAATATCAGCTATACTTGAACCACCAATGTCTCCAACAAGTCGGACTGCGTTACTCCCTGCGTGCAACTTCGATGCCTTTTATCTCCAGACACGGTGAGTGATAGCTAGCAGAAAGATACCGAGGGTGCTATATAGCCTTTTTTAAGGAGTTTAGACTACAGCTCATGTGGGCTTTCATGCACAGCCTTCTATGGGACAGCAACATGCAGCTTTCTCATGCCCTCTTCGGCACCCTCATCAGGCGTTGGTGGTAAGGGTTGGATGTGGGCAGTTTCCAAAATAGGGTCCCATTTTGGTACCCCCAAAAATTATTCGGTGCCGTAATATATGCCCCAAAGGACCCCATCATTTTGAGAACAGCCCATGTGTAACCCACCAGATGGCAGACGTAGGAGTGAAAGCTGCAATTTTGAAGTTCACTAAGGTTTAGGGTTTAGGGTTCTCCCGATCAAACTCTGGAGCCAAGAATTGCCGAAACGCAGCCATACCCACACCCAAACATACATTAACGTCCCCCTGGTGATAATTAGGACGCAGTCCTTGTGAGGCCTTTCGGGCTTCCGTGCTAGTTTGGCGGGCAAGTCTCACATTTGCATCCCCAGAGACAGGCCTCAGCTCCCCGGAGAGAAGGAATACATTAGAATCCCAATATGTTTCTATATCCCTAAACCCTGACGTAGACCCGTGGTTCATAAGCCCGCTTCTCTCAAGGGCCTTATTATTAGGATCTGCATTCAAATCCCTATTAAGGGGAGGGGTTTGATGATCTCGGGTCTACACTGACCCTTCCATTTAGAATGTATTTCTTTGCTAGGGGTGTACTGGGCCGCCTAAACTCCGGACCCTAAGACTCACTGAATCCTGGGTCCTAATAGCCTTAAGCCCCGAAATCCGACCCGGGCCTGTGGGATTTCGGATGACTTCCCAGCTTGTCTGCGCGATATGGAAATGGAAGGTTCAATATCCTCCATGAGCCGAAAGAAGAGGCTAAAGGCGGACCGGGTTAGAGCATTTAGGGTAGGGGTTATTGGGGTTAAGGAATTAAGGATTTTGGGTGTAGGATTTAGGGGTTAAGGGGTTTTGGGCTTAGGGGACAAAGGTTTAGGGTAAGGATTTGGATTACGGGTTTGAGGTGTCGAGTACGGGCTTAAGAGATTAATTAGGGTAGGGAAGGGTAAGTTTTTGACGGTTTGACGGTTAGGGCATTTCGGGTAAGGTTTATGTTTGTGGGACCTCTTCTGCACAGCCCAAAATGGTCCTGTAGAAGTGGGTTTGGGGTTGAGGGTTTTAGGGTTCACGGCTTAGGGTTTAGGGGTTCAGGTTCAGCAGGGCTTGGAAGTGTTCTAGGGGAATCAAATTTAATGAGGAGAGTTGGAGGTTTATCAGATCAAGGGATCGGCATTTAGCTTTAAGGCTTTAGGGTTTGTCTGTGAGCGTAGCAGAGAACGAAGGAAATGATCCCTATAGCAGTCTCTATGCCAGAGTTTAGGGTTTACGGTCAATCCCCACCCAGTAATGGGTACCCACAGGGACTATTGTAGGTATATTAAGGACAAATTAACTCCATATCGAGGGGGGATTATTGTAGGGGGCATGGACCTATGCCATCTCTAGAAACAGCCCCTGTAATGCGATCCATTTTTCCTGTCCCTAATTGACTGATATGAGCCATAGTCTAAAGTCCTAGCATCCACCTTGTATCCCCTATAGTAGTCCCCTGTATAATCCCCTATCCCCTGAACCCCTATATAATCCACTTTAAGGAGTTCATGTGCACCACAACGAGGACCCCAGGTCCGAAACTCCAAGCTTTCAAACCTGCTGCAGTACATAGTCAGAAACAAGAAAGACTTATCGATGTCAGTCTTGGGTTTAGGGTTTCGGGTTTGGGGTTTGGGGTTAGGATGTCAGTCTCAGGCTATTTCAGGCAGCCTGAACCTTTTAAAACTACAAGCAAATTAGGACCAGAAGATTGGCAATTCTTCAAGATTTTACACTACACTTGCTCCCTATCCCGAAACCCTCAATCATTCTTTTCGGGTTGTGGATTCAGCACCCTACAAGGAGTGGGCCCCGTAGTTACCTAACTCATATTCTAAGTCCTATAACTAGAACTTATGGAACTTATAACCATTATCCTAACATATAACCCAACTTATAACTAGGGGGCCCCTCCCTGTAGACCCCAAACTAAACCCTACACCCTAAACAAAAGCCTAAACCCTAAACCCTAGACCCGAAACCCTAAACTAAACCCTACACCCTAAACAAAACCCTAAACCCTTAGCCCTTAACCCTTAACCCTAAACTAAACCCACCCTGAACAAATAGCAGACGTGTTGGATTCCCAAGCGAGAGGCCCGCTGCGCAAGAGAGGTTCCAGCTGCTGCTGACATTGCCGCAGTAGCTGTAAAGAGCCTCCCTTCTCCAAGTTGCTGACTTCCCTGATGTAGGGTTTAGGGTTTAGGAGACCCATGATTAATAAACCGCCTCCCCTTAATAGGGATCCCTAATATTGAGGCCCTTAACAGGAGGGGGGGGTGTATTACTCAGGGGTCTACATTGGCCTCTAAAAAGTGTACACTTTTTATATTCTAATGGGAATACAAGAACCCTAAACCCTAAACCCTAACAGTGTAAAGTGTACCTACCCAGCTACTAAGCTTCTCCAAGTAATCGCTTCAGAGACGTGACATTCTCTCAGTTTGTTGGGCTTTGGAGGGTTGGCCTGGGAGTACTGCAGGGATCTAAACAAATACGAGTGTTGAAGTCTGGTTGAGGTACCCTATCGGTTGTCATCCCTATCAACCCCATGTATATCCAGTTTCCAGGTCATACGGCGTTTTCTTGTCTATGTGATTTTCCATCTTGACCTCGCTGAACCCTTAACCCTAATCCCTAAACCGTTTAAACAAACACGTGCCAAATCCTAAGCCCCAAGCCCTGAACTCCAAACTCTAAAGAACCCCAGAAACCCCAATAGCGCCCATTGCGCGGGTCTCAAACTACCATGCTTCCAGTTGGGGGTTTGTCAACAGGGGTGGGGGCCTGCAAATCCAAGGATATCTGGGGATCATGAAGAAATTATCTCTAAGGGTCCAAGTACCCAAACGAAAGGGGCTTTAGGTGCCCAACAGCAATACCCTAAACCCTACACTCTAAACCCTAAACCCTAAACCGCATAATTTGTGCCCCATAAGTCTCTATCAATGGGGTACTCGGGCTCTAAACCCTAAACCCTACAGGCGTCACTAACGGCTGTTAAGGGCTGACTTGAGAAACTCCCAAATCACCTTCTCGTAAGGGCTGGTGGTTTTAGGGCTTAGGATTTAGGGTTTTAGGGCTTCGGATTTAGGGTTTAGGGTCATTCTAGTAGGGGCTTAGGTTTAAGAGTTCAGATGTCCCATACACGCGCCAAATGGATCTGTTCATCGTCCACGCCGAACACCTTCCGCACTGTGAGTAAGACATATAGAGGAATAGATCCCTATAGGAGGTTTAGGGTTTAGGGTTTGGGGTTTGGGGTTTGGGGTTTAGGGTTTAGGGTTTAGGGGTTTAGAGTCATATAAAACATAAGGGCATACTAGTTTCCATGCCCTTCCCGCTCCTTAATCCCCTACG